TCACCAATGAGTTTACTGCCGACTTACTGTTAGGAGGTAGATCTGATCTGAAGAGGCAAGTTACTAGGGAGTGGCCTGGGAGGGTTTGTCTCTTTCCTGCCGCTCCCTTTGCCCCTTCTCTGCTTCCTGTCTGCCATGCTATGAGCCAAACTCCTCTGCCAGGCTCCTCTGCCTTGTTGCCCTACCTTGGAGCCAGTTGACTATGGGCTGAAACCTCTAGAAACTGTGAGCTAAAGTAAACTTTTCCTCCTTAGAGTTGTTGTACCCCCCAAAAAACAAGGCCCCAAGATGTTATTCAAGAAAAAGACGTCTTATTTTAAAAAGAAAAAGAGCATTTTTATTTAAGCTGACACCAGTGGCACAATGCAGATGGAGTTTGCAAAGCTGTGCAATTGGGTTAGAATTTTGACAGATTTTTATAACGATTAAACTGCAAAGTAAGGAGTGATATGAAGCGAGCAAGAATGCGAAAGGTCTTTGTTCCCCTTTGCTTGGGGTCAGAGACATCTCGCAGTTGCTGGTTACCTCTTTCTTTCCTTAATTTACTGCCCTTGGTCTGCTAATTCCAGGAACACGTGTTTCTCATAAAGGGAACAAAGGTTGACACAGCAAACAGGTTACTAGGGTGACGACGCATACAGAACAGTATGATTGTTTAATCTATAACTGTGTGGTCGGTGCTCCAGTCAATCTTTTTAACTTTGCATTTTAGTTTTTTAGCATTTTAGTACAACAGAGTTATGGGTGTTGTGTCCTAGCAATAAGAAAGTAACTAAGACAGAAGTACAAATTAGTATCAGAAGGAGATACTATTTGCCAATCACTAAATGGAAAAAAAAAAACTTGGTATCAGAAAGGGGTTTCAGATTTTAGAATATCTGCATATTCATAATAAGATATTTTGGGGATAGAATTTAAACACAAAATTTATTTTAGGGAGACATTTATACCTTAAACACATAGCCTGAATGTAATTTTATATAATTCATAGTGTATATACATTTTAACTGCAACCCATCACATGAACTCAGGTATGGAATTTTCTGGCTGTGGCAATATGTCAGCACTCAAGAAGTTTTGGAAGTTTCTGAAGCATTTTGGATTAGGAGTGTTTTGAACTTTTTATTGTAGCCCTGACAGCAAAACTAGCATGAATTTCTTTTTCCTTTTTGTTTTGGGGGGAATAATGTGGGGATACTGGGGATTAAGCCCAGAGGCACTCTACCACTGAGCTACATCCACAGCACTTTAGAGTGAGACCCACAGTCTCCCTAAATTGACCAGGTGGGATTCAAACTTGTACTCCTGTCTCAGGCTTCCTCAGTGCTAGGATTATAGTCACGTACTACCATACCTGGCCTCTTTTCCCTTCACAACTTCACAGAGAAGATTCATACTTAGTATAGATCTTAAAAATATCAGCAAGCTTTTCTTCTCCTTATTATGTGGAGAATTGTTGGCGTTAGTTAAAGGAAGCACTTTGGTCCTTCTTTGGTATAGCTGACTTTGCCAGTGTCACTACTCTTGTACTTCAAGGTCATTATGAAGTAAAATTAGGGTTACTTGAAAAATAAATGGGTTACAGCAAAATAAATGTAGTGACTGAGACTCCTACTAAGTGACAATATGTTAACAGGTTTTGGGGTGCTGAGGCCTCTACCTAGAGGTGGTTTCTAAGTTTTCTCTGTCCTGAGCAAAAAATGGGTCAAGACAAATGCAAATGGTACCAAAATTCTATTAAAGGTACGAAGAGAACAGACTGTGGGCAAGTTTGGGCCAAGAAAAAGCAGGAGAAGGAGCATACCCTACAGTGTGAGGACGGGCCACATGCAAGAGAGAACACAGCAGCAAAAATTCAAATGACAATCATCCTTTTTGTAACATCCACTCCTCAGACTGATGTCAGTCAGGTCCAGGGCATCCTACAGAAAACCTGCTCCAGTTCTTGGGAATAGTTCACATGCAGGGCTTTGGAAACTAGTCTGTGCATGTGTCCAGGGAATTTTTCCCCTCTTTCGGCTTTTGAGATAAGGTTTCACTAATTTAGCTCAGGCTGTCCTTGAATTCGTGCTGATCCTCCCACCTCAGCCTCCAGGGCTGAGATTACAGGCATTTGCCACCAACTCCAGTTGTGAAATTTTGCAATTAACAGGTCACTCCTACTTCCCCTTCCAGTCTGCCACACCCTGTCTCAAAAGGACAAGTGATGTGTACAAGCACTGGTCCCCTGGACAAAGGTATGATTCTCATCTTGCGTGTGAGGAAGAGGGATAAGGCACGCTTCACTCTACTCAGAACAATAAGTGATTCAAATTTAGTTTACCTCAACTACTATTAAGTCGGGTTATTTGGTGGTGAAGCACTAGGTTGCTGAAACAGTCATGCTTTGACCTGTATTGTTATATTGTTGTGTCCTGTTTTATCTCAATCTCTCCCTTATTCTTTAAAAAATTATTTAGTTATTTCTTATGTTTGTCTTAATTAAGGGGAAAAATTTTAAAAATTAGGATATATAATAGTAACTCTTTTTGATTTCCTATTAACTTGAAGTCCTGTAATACTCCCACGATCTTGTTTTGACTGATTAGACTCTGTTCCATTCTGTATGATGGTATCAAGTTTGAGGGTACAGGCAACTACTTTGAAGGCAATAAGATTCACTAAGATGCCCATTCTGGTTTGACTATTGTCTCCTTTGGAAGTCCTGTAATGTTTACAATGCCTAACTTTTATTGGTCTTGTTCTCTACTGTTTTGTCCAACTTTATAATATCTAATGAGATAGACAGTTCTTTTTAAGGAAACAAGAGACATCGTTGATAACCATTGTTGATAACCTTGTACCCTGTTCTACATCATGTGCTATGTCTATCCTTGGTTTTGACTGACAGCTTTGTTTTGCCATATTTGACTTTATTCTCTCCCCCCCAAAAAAGTAATAAGAACTAAGGAGTAATAAAATCCAAAATGTGTAAATTTTGTTGTAAAAAAGAGAGGGGAAAAAAAAGAGCTCTAACGGATATAACAGCAAGTGTGTTTAGGGGTGTTACATAGCTGACTATATTAATGTTTTTGGATCATTGAACACAGCTGTTTGCAGTCTCTCTGTTTGAATGTCCACTTTGTATTCTTTGATACTGTGATTTGAGCAACTCTTTCCAAGATGATAATATGTAATCTATTAACAGGTGATTTCTTACTGTTTTTTTTTTTTTGTAGTTCTGTGTTACGTGTACCCTTACACCGCTTTGTTTTGTTTTGTGTTTTTCTCTTTTTCCTCTTAAATAAAATTTAAAAAAAAATTTAGTTTACCTCTGGAATTTGCCATTTAATATTTTCAGACCAATCCCAGCACTCAGGAGGCTGAGGCAAGAGGATCTTTGTGAGTTCAAAGCCAGCCTGGGTTACAAAGTGGGCTCAAATTCAGCCTAAACTGCATAGTGAAAATCTGTCTCAGACAAAAATATTTTTTTTTCAGACCACAATTAACGAAGGGTAAATAAAAACATGGAAACTGAAACCACAGGTAAAGAGGGAACTACATCAAAATTTTCATAAATGGAACAACCTACAAATCCTTCCATTCCATCAAAAATGCAATTGATATAGGGGAATGAAACTCCTGACCTACTATATGTCCAGAATGAGTTCATGTTCTCTAAAATCAAAGAATGAATTTTAGGAACAATGGAGGTTAAGAGCAGAAACATTTATTGAGAGAAAGAAAACTTCTGTCAGAGAGAGACAGAAGGGGTCCCGAGTGGGTTGCCAAAGATTCTGTATTTTCTTGGAATTTTTATAGAGTAAAAACATGAGGTGAGGAGGGTCTAAAGTTGAGGAAACCTGGGAACTTACAAGGCATATGGGCATGAGGGGGGACAGAGCTATGGTCAATCAATAAGTTTAACTGTTCAGCTAAAATTGACCAAATCAGAGACAAACGGGGAAGCGAGTCACATCAGTGACTCTTCCTATATAGGAAGTTAGGATGGTGACTCTTGGCTTCTCAAGGTGATCCATACTTAATCCCTAAGGATTATACTTAAGGGTGTGGTTGCATTTGTTCTGCCTTCTGTCTGGACATCCCACCACAAAGGCTTTACACTACCCCAGGACAGAAGATCAAGTGCCGCAGTACCTACCAGTCCAGAGGCCTGGCCTTGGCTTTATACTGGCCTGCCAAGGGTGTCCCAAAATTCCACCACAGCAAGAGATGTTATGTCTCCTCCAAGGTCATCACACATCTGGTCCTCTGTGCCGGCTTCTTCAAGGGCCTAGCCCTGACTTCCTACAATATTTCTAACTAGCTCAGCTGCCTGTAACAAATGTTAAAAAAAAAAAAAAAAAATTTTTTTTTTTTTAAATGCAATAGTAGGGCCAGGGATTTAGGTTAATGGCATAAAAACCTTCCTGGCAAGCACAAGGTCATGAGTTCGATCCCAGGTACCAAAATAAATAAATGTAATGTCAACATTAATATCAAAAACACTTTCATGGGTTAAGGATGTAACTCTGGGATAATCATGGCCTAACTGCAAGGCTCTGGGTTCAATCCCCAGCACTACCAAAAACAGAGACAGAACAAAATTCACTTTCAGTGAAATTCCTAAACAAGAGCAAACCCGCTAAGCTTGTATTTCAAAGGGGCGTCTCCACATAGGCACTTCTATGGTAGTTCAAATCCAAACCCAGAGCCGGCAGAGCCCACGTTCCTAGGAAACTTGTGGAGTAGTAATCAAGCCCTAAACATCAGAAGATGCTCAAACAGATTAAAATCCTGTAAGATCCTTTTCCCCTTTAACTAGGTTTGTTGTCGCATATCAGAGGCTTTACAGTTATCCTAGAGCAGAAGATCAAGGGCGGCTGCCAGGCCTAAGGCCTCGCCCCTGGCTTTACACTGGCCGGCCAAGGGTGGTAAAACCACAACTCCCATAAGTCCTTGTGGGTATGGGCGTGGCCTTCCAGATGACTGGTTGTTTCTCAGCTCCAACCAGCGATAATTGGCTCGTGGAAACCAGAGGCGTGACCCGGCGAGACCCGCGCTCTGGGCTCTCAGGTGGAAATTCTGCGGCGAACTGACCGCGGGCACTCCAGCGAAGCATGGTTCCGTGGTACCTTTGTGAGTTACTGCTAGTTTTCGCCACTGTCTCCATGTCTAAGGACCTGGGGCACAGAGAGCTACGCGGGGCATCGCGAATCCCTTCCCACTTCAGCCGAGAGGAGCTCGTCGCTATGAAAGAGGCGCTGAAAGGTGAACCGGGGTCCAAAAGTGGGTCCTTCGGCCCTTGGGACTCCGCGGAGAGTCCCTACCGCAAGCTGGAGCTGGGCAGAACATCCCTCCCGGCCCAGTCCCGGCACCCCGTATCAGGTTCCGATTTAGGTTCGCTACTTTTCCCCCTAGACTTGGTTTCTGGGGCTCTCGTGTTCCCTGCCCCGCCAGTTTTACCACCTTGGACTGGCTCCACCCTCCCAATGCCTTTACTTACCTCCAGTATTACAAGGGCTGCTATTGGTACAGCGCTTAAGTTTCACATCTGTCAAATTTCTTCGATATTTTAAGATCAAACTAGGCTATCTTAGTCTTATCTCTAGAAATGGGAAATTGAGGTCAGTAAATTATCTTCTCCAGGGTGGGGACCAAGGAATGAGCGCTGGGTGACAACAGAAAATGTCTGGACTTCACTGAACTCCAGATAGCTCTCAGAAAGACTGTGGATCTTTTGAATTTGTGTTTTCCAGGAGAAAAGAGGAAAGTTTCTGTTGAGTGTTAGATTCTGTAGATCTAATGGGATGATGAGATCTGTCCTGGCCATTGAGCTCAACTCCAGCCTTTGCCCTATTACTAAATGGTGGATTAAGAAAAACTGCCTATGTAAGCATGTGCAGGCAGAGATGCAGGGACAAAATGTAACCCCTGTTGTTGCAAAGGGATTGCTCATGTGCTGGAACAATAGGCTTGGAAGATGGAACAGGGCTTTCTCAAAGTATAATATAAAGCAAATTACTCAAGAGACCTTTTGCACAGAAGCAATAGGAACTGTAGATTTAGAAATTCTTAGCAAGCTGCAAAACAGCTGAGTTCAGATCTTGGGTCTGCTCTTGGGTGGGCAATTTAGTCTTTTTGGACCTCATATTCCCCATATTTATGACAAGCTGTGATTTGTAGAATTGATCCTTAGCAAAACACAACATGGAATTCAGGTTGTTTTTCAGAGGTGCTTCCTAGACTTCCCGGCGAATGTGTTTCTGGATTGTTAGATTGCTATCTAATCAAATATTTTCACTACTCATTGCATTTCTCTGGTGTTTATGTCTGATAATGGGGCCCTCGCAAGCTGTAAAGGCTCAGGATTTAAAGGGATGAATTTAGCGACAATTCAAAAACTGAAAGGTCTGGTGGGGAGGATGAATATTTAAGGTAGCAGTTAAATCCCAGGTATTGCGAAAAAAAAAAGTTTTAAAAAAGGGGCTGGGGATTTAGCTCAGCGGCATAAGCGCCTGCCTTGCAAGCAGGCAGTCGTGAATTTGATCCCCGGTACCCATAAAAAGACAAAAAAAAAAAAAATCCCAGGCATTGTTTGCCTCAAAAGCTGACATGGTTGAGGTCAGTGAAATTTGAAGAAGCAGGCCATGAAGAGGGAGCCCATCCTCTACTCACACAAGCACATAACTGACACTGATGTGGGGGCCCAGGACAGTGAGTGCCTTGAGACCAATGAAGCTTGGGATTCATCAAAGACAGTGGTTATTTCAGAAGTGCATTGAGGCCTTGGGAAACAATTTATGGAAATTTTCTCCTCAGGCTCAAGGGCTAAAATTTCAATCTGAGTCTTTATTTTCCTTTACAAACTCTATTAGCGTCAACAAATCCTGAAGACCTGGGTTTATATCTTCCGGGGCTTTGTTGCTGTGTAATCTTAGGCAGCTCATCTAACCTCTCTAGACTTGTTTCCTCTTCTTAGGAAAAATAATAATGATAGCTCCACAAAATTATTTTGCCTTCTGCAAAAGATAATGAATGCAAAGATAACTTTTTATGTACAGAGGATGGGGTGGGGGATACAGGAGGAGTACGGGGGCCCAGAAAAAGTGTTTCAGATTTTGCAGTGTTTTAATTGACTTTGTCAGTTGAGCATCCCTAATCTGAAAATCTGAAATCTGAGGTGCCCCAAAATCCAAAACCCTTGACTATCACATCGACACTCAAAAAGTTTCAGATTTCAGAGGCCTTTGGATTTCACTTTTCAGTTAGGGATGTCTAACCTGTACCATCTTTAATCTTCTGTCTCTGACTGTTTAACTCTGACAGGTGCCATCCAGATTCCAACAGTGTCTTTTAGCCATGAGGAGTCCAATACCACAGCCCTGGCTGAGTTTGGAGAATACATTCATAAAGGTCAGCTGGAAACTGTGGGCTCTAGGAGACAGCACTGGGAACACAGTCCTTTTACAACATGATCAAGAAGTATATTTTATCACTGATCAGAGGAGAGTCTAATTCCTGAGAGTTTCTCTTGAGGCTGTACATAGAGGGGAGGTGTGAAAGGGAGACTCTTAGTTAAGTACAGGATTCCTTCTACCTGGGAAAATATCTAGAACTATGTTCCATGCATTACCCACCCCTATATCCACACAGAGCGGTATCCTATACTCCCATTCTGCCTCTGGAGACTCAGATTGTTACCAGTTCATTTCCAAACCTCTAGGCCAGTGGTAGCGAACCTTTCAGAGACGAGTGCCCAAAGTGCAACCTCAAACCTACTTATTTATCGTGAAGTGCCAACACTACAACTAAACCTGACTACTGAGCTTTTCATTTAGGAAAAAAACTACTCATACATTAACATGTTTTAAAAGAAAAAAAAAATGTGTCCTGGGTTCTCCACCCCTGCTCTAGGCAGTTAAGGAGTGAGCTATCCTCTCTCCTCCCCACCACCATGGAGCACAGAACAAGGAAGGATGGTCAGAGAGGGAAAAAGTCTTAGAAGCCCCCCTGACCCCTTGTTAAAATTTAATGGAGAGGGCCACAGATTTAGCTCAGTGGCAAGAGTGCCTGCCTGGCAAGCCTGAAGTCTGGAGTTTGATCCTTGGTACAAAAAAAGAAAAAAAAAATCATGGAGAAAAGAGAGGCAGCCTTTCTAAAGTAAATAAAAAGCAGCTCCTCCAAAGTTTTTCAGAAGTGGGAGAGGCTGGCCTGGTATTAGCAAGTAGTCCCTAACCCTAACACTCTGGGTCTAAGGAACCTGGCATTAATGCCTGGCCATCAAACTGGGAAGCTGAGCAGAAAAGCCTTTATCATGTAATTGATTTAAAAAAAAAATTAAGCCAGACACAGTGGTGTATACCTGTAATTCTGGAGGATCAGGAGGCTGAGGCAGGGGGATTGCTGTGAGTTCAAGGTCAGCCTGATTTACAAAGCAAGAGCCTATCTTAAAAAAAAAAAAGAAAGAAAGAAATTAGATAAGCTGGCTGATGTACTAAAATTAGTTTCTTCAGTTGTTTGTTTTCCAATGTCCCCAGAGGTACATATAGATTCTTTCCGAAAAGCCTAGAGGGAAATAAAGTTCTTTCTCCCATGTATCTAAGGCTACCTGTGTTAAGCCTACCAATATTCTGAGTAATCAACCTAGGGAATATCCACACCCATACCCACACACAGAAGTGTGGCACTATACCAGTCAGAATAAGCTTTTAACTCCATGTGACACAAACAGTAGGAGTGCTGTCCCCTAAAAGAAAATGATCTTTAAATATTTTTCTAGAGGGAGCATGTTTGAGTCTGAGTAATTTGGATATTGGGAACTGCTATATTCAAGAGTTAACACACTCTTTCTTCTGCAAAGGTTTCTACATGTAATCATATGTTGTAGATCAGACAGAGCCAGATCTTGAAATACTGACCATTCTTTTTTTTTTTTGTCTTTTTCTTTTTCATCGGTACCAGGGATCAAACTCACGACTGCCTGCTTGCAAGGCAGGCACTTATGCCGCTGAGCTAAATCCCCAGCCCCAATACTGACCATTCTTAATGGTGGAGTCTTTGCATGTTATGATATAATCATAGCACATTAAAATATGAGGAAGAGTTGGACATGGTGGTGCACACCTGTAATCCCAGCACTGGAAAGGCTGCAGCAGGAGGGTCACCATGAGTTTGAGGCCATCCTGGGATACAAAGTGAGTTCAAGGCCACCCTGCACCACATAGTGAGAACCTGTCTTAATTAAATAATAAAATAAGAGGAAGAGAAGGCTTGGGGATTGAGCAGACAGATCAAAAGTTTTGTCTGATAAGGCTTCCTAAAGGAAAATGCATGCTAAACAAAAAGCTAGGGAGCACTCAATGAGAAGACCAAAAGAACTTCGATTTTCTTTCCTGCTTGTATCCCTTTGCCTTTAGTCTTTCCCACAGTGTTCAGCACCAGCTTTATCCAGCATGAAGTTGTGGGACAGTACAGTCACTTGCTCACCGTTCAAGGCTCAAACCCCAGCCTGCAGCCCTACATGCTGCTGGCTCACTTCGACGTGGTGCCCGCCCCTGAAGAAGGCTGGGAGGTGCCCCCATTCTCTGGGCTGGAGCATGATGGCTTCATCCACGGTCGGGGTACCTTGGACAACAAGAACTCCGTGATGGTCTGAAATGCTCTTTCTTCTGCCTTGGGGCCCTAGAGATGTTCGGCTGACTTCTGGGAGGAAAGAGGTTATAGTAGAAAGAATCTTGGCTCCCGGAGACCTGGGTTCCAGCCATCAGTTTGTTGCTTCCTTTTGCTGGACCTTAATTTCTCAAATGTGTAGGGCCTGGAGTAGAAAATCCCCCACACACCCACTAAGCTCTGCCGTTAGTAAGTTTATGCTTTTCTCCAGGTGGCAAATGTTTTATGAAACAATCTACTTCCCCACATCTGGCCCCCTGGAAACATTTGAATTTGTTCTCTTTAAAGAGAGTCTATCAGATCCCTGCTCCACCAGCCCCCAGGGAAACAGCTGGGTGTCTCTGATATCCTACTTAAATAACCTCACTCTCTCCTCTTCCATTGTTTTTCTAAACCCCAGGCAATCCTGCAGGCCTTGGAGCTCCTGCTGATCAGAAACTACATCCCACAGAGATCTTTCTTCATTGCTCTGGGTCACGATGAGGAGGTAGGCCCCTGTACCTATCTCTGGGACCCTATTGGTAGACATTTCACCATCATCTACCTTGTAGCTCCCTAGCTACAAGGACTCCATGAAGTGGTGTAGTGATTTGCCAACTTCCCTGGGTGTCTATTCTGGGTGCCAGAACTATGTAAGGACCATGACCAAAAATTCAGATTACTGTATCGTATGCCAAAGACCTGAATGTTTTGTTTTGTTTTGGTTTGGTTTGGTTTGGTTTCTGAGATAGGGTCTCACTATGTGGTTCAGGCTGGGCTGGGCTCAAATTAGTCTGGCCACTAAGCCCAGCAACCACCTAAATTTTTAACAAACTCCCTGAAGCAGGCAGGTATTCTGTCACCTACACCCTGAGAAAAACGGTGAACTGAACAGGAAGATCAATGACTCATCTGCAGGACAGCTAGTTGTTTTGGCCCTGGGCAAGTCACTTCACCCTCTGGGTCTCAGTTTCTTCCTTTGTAAAAGGAAAGAAGCTGGACTCTCCCTGCTGTGACATTCCAGGAAGCTGTGAGGTGGAATTGTCTCAGCCCTCCCCACTTCCCCCAGGAAGGAAATTTGAGAAGGAAAATTTTGGGATGTGTCTGCAGGTATCAGGGACCAACGGGGCTCAGAAAATCTCAGCACTGCTACAGAACAGAGGCGTCCAGGTGGCTTTCATTGTGGATGAGGGCAGTGGTGTCTTGGAAGGATTCATTCCCAGCCTCAAGAGGCCCTTTGCCATGTGAGTAAAGCATCCCTGTCCCACCTGGAAGGGAGCTACCTCAAGCTGTGATGACTCCAGCCCGGTGAGGCTGTTCCATGTCAGCCCTTTTGCCTTGGGCATGCTCATCTTCCCCTTCCCTCCTTTCTCTAGTGTAGATTTTTAAAAAGCAGCTTAAATCCAGCCTCTAAGCATCCACCCAGCTGGGCTTTCCTCCCCAACATAATTTAGGGTAGAAAGATGTTAAGAAAGCCATCCCTGATCCCCTTCCACAGGATTTCGGTCTCAGAGAAGGGTGCAATTGACCTCAGGCTGCAAGTAAACATGACTTCAGGCCACTCTTCAGCTCCTCCAAAGGAGACAAGCATTGGCATCCTGTCAGCTGCCATTAGCCGGTAAGCAGCACCTGTGCTCTGCTCAGAATGGAAGGCCTGGCACTATCCTGCTTTGGGTTTGAGGTGGCGATGCTGGGCTGGGAAGCCATGGTGTGAGCCCATGGTGGGGACAAAACTACCCACAGCAGGCAAGTACTGGGGTCAGCAGAGGATGGATTGGAACATCCCTACAGCATGCAGGGCCAGAGGGCAAGATCTAGGCCAGGTGGACTGTTGGTCCAGAGTCAGCTAAGCAGGTAAAGAATTTCACAAGTTGTCAAATGGCTAAATCATCTATTAAATTCTTCTTTTGCCCTGGCCATTGTACAGAGATAAACCAGGGCTGTTTGTGAGGCAAGAACAGTATGGTCTGTACGAGCAGCATTCACCCATGGCTAGGTTCTCTTCACAAAGTTGGAAGGAACATAGTATTCATGCAAATACTGAATGCATTGCTGCCATGGTCAAGGCTGTGTGCCAGGGGATAGGCATACCAGGAACGAAACAGCACTGCCTCAGGACACTCAGCAGAGGAGACTGACAGCTTGGCTGCAGCATTTCAGGGGCATAAGATTGGACACACAGGATGTCAAAAAGAATTGGAGGGAGGGAGGGTGAGGACAGGACTAACTTGGACTTGACGGGCAGGAAGAGCTGCTGCTAGAAGAGTAGAGATGATCCTGGTGGTGCTTTAAGAGTTTGAGAGTGGTTGAGATGCTTGAAGTCACACACAAGTGAATGGCATAGCTGGTCAAAACTTCCAAGTCTTGAGAACTCTGTTTCTCTTCCAGACTGGAGCAGACTCCAATGCCAAACATGTTTGGAAAGGGGCAGCTAAAGACGATGTTGCAGCAGTTGGCGAGTGAGGTGTGGGAAGAAGCAGCATGCGCTCCTGACCAGCTGTGGAAGAGGAACAGGAGGGTGGTGGAGAAGGCAGTTTTGGAGAGCTGTCCCAAGCTCTGCCCAATCTCAACTTTCAAACCAGTGGCTCAGCCTTGCTGAAGAGATCAGGCTTGTTCCCCGGGGTTAGCTGAGACCCTAAGGAGTAACGTACCCAGGCACCCTTTGAGAGCTGGTTCTCAGTCATCTTTGAGGCTGCTAAGCAATTCAGCTAGCCCTGCCAGGTAGAAACTGCCCTGTCCTCTAGCAAGGGTGAGGCCAGCGGAACTCAGTGAGGATCTCAAGGCAGCAGAGAGACCCAGGCGAGGGGGCAGGGACCACACTGCATTGTCCCAGCTAATCCTGCTAATGCTGTTCTCTTTCTTTCAGTTCTCCTTCCCTGCCAATATAGTCTTGAGCAACATGTGGCTATTTCAGCCCCTCGTAAGCAGGTTAAGTATTATCCTTCCCTCCTTTTCATCCCCTGCCCTCGCTGCAGTCTCCTTTCATTGGCTTTCCTGGGCCTCACTAGTCATCCCTCAGCCTGCACAGACACCTAATCTAATCAGGTATAGGCTATCTCTCTCAGTCCTGAAGGTCTGCACGCTTCAGGAAAGTGGGTGAACTTCCAGCCCTTCCTGTGTCCCCCTTGGATAGTTCTTAATGTCCGACTTAACATCCTTTTGCTTTAGGTTGATAGATAGAAATCCTATAACCAACGCGATGATCAGGACCACCACAGCGGTCACCATGTTCCATGCCGGGGTCAAGGTAACGTCACCTGGTTCTGCAGTGACCTTCTTACTGCCCACCCCCTTCTCTATCTCCTCTGACCTTTGGCTTTATCACCCTTCTCTGCCTGGCAGTTGAACACTAGGAAGGGGCAGTGCACAACCAGCCTGTGTCATGCCATGGGTATGCACCCAGAGCAGGAATCTAGCCAAGGCCTGCCAGTTCTCTGAAATTGTTGACCACATTTTATATGTGCTTATTTTAGTGGAAGACATCCACAACCCTCTCAAACTCCTTAGGTGTGACCTTCCCCAAAGCAACCATTATACTGGTGTGAAGAAGGGTCACTTGGGAGTTCCTTCTTGTGACTTATGGTCAGGCTATAACTCAACATGTTTTATATTTACTAACACTTTGGTCATGTAGACTGAGGTTTCTAACTTTTCTACCAACAAGGATCTTTTTAAGGATCCTCATGTTTTCAAAGATGTATCTACTTAGTGAGTAATTAATACATTTTACCCAGTATTAATCCTAAATTGAAAAAGGGAAACCAGCCTGGCATGGTGGTGCACACCTGCAATCCCAGCACTTAGGAGGCTGAGGCAGGAGGATTGCCATGAGTTCGAAGCCAACCTGGGCTACACAGTGAATTCAAGGCCAGCCTGAATTACACAGCAAAACCCTTTCTTGAAAGAAAGAAAAAAACAAACAAAGAGGGAACTCACTTGCCATTTATAAAATTAAGGAAAAATATATATACACATTATCTCACTTAAAACTCATCATTTCCCAAAATCTACTAAATATTGGGTGTTCTTAACAAACATAATTTCTATATGAGGTTTACTCTTCCAGAAATAAATTTCAAGTAAATCAATACTTTGATAAATTTTTGTTCCAAGACTTACTTTTCAATGAATTAGTCTGCTTTGTGGATTGGCCACTATGGAGTGTCTAGTTAAAGGGCCAAACCTGGCCACACAAAGGCACAGGCCTTTCTGAAATCTTAAAGAGAATTTGATCCCTCCTATAACTGGCAGTGCCACCACCACAGTTTAAAAGGGCACCATTCCCTTAAAGCACAACGTGACCTGTGGAGTTAGGTGTAGTAGCACATGCCTGTTTCATAGCTACTTGGGAGGCTGAGGCATGAGGATCACTGCAAGTTTAAGGCCTAATCACACTACCTAGTAGTGATTTCAGAGCCAACTTGAACTATGTAGTGGTTGTTTCAAAAAACAAAACAAATAAAAAAAGCTAACTGTGGCTCCATGGTAGAAGCCCATGGTTCAACCCCCAGCACTGCAAAACAGTAACAACGTAACTTTGAGATGGAAGGAATCTGGCCATCTGGACCCTGCGCTGATTGAAGTGCATAATGCCTCCGAGTTAATTCCTAGCAGACAGTATTCCTTATGTACATTTTTATGAGTTTTTGTCAGTGAGATAGTCTTTTTTGCAGGCATTTCTTTTGCTGATCAGAATAGTTTAAAATTCTAGAACAGTTTTGCAGACTGCCTTAATTCTCACTTCCATCACACTTTCCCACCCTCTGCCAGGAACAGTAGGAGACAGATGAAGCGGGCGGCCCCAGGTCCTCTGCAGTAGAGCCAATAGGCAGCCCCTAGATTTCCTTGTTAGCATCCTGAGGTAACAATTCAGATATCACAGGTCCTCCTTTCAGAAAAGTAAAGTGAAAAGCAAAGTAAAACCTGTGGAAGGTAGTTTTACTAGTCAAGAACCTTGGCAATCCACTGCTCTTGTCTAGAGTGCATGCTTCAGTGACCCAGTAATACGGCCGTGCTCAGTGGTGTGTTCATCCATCGCAAGTTCGAGTCCTGAAGGCAACTGTGGTTCCAGTGATACATTTTTTATACAGACCTATAAAAATTAATTTTTTCGAGTAATATACTACTAGTTGCTATTGATTATTTCAGCACTCGATATACTGTTAAGTCTTTTTTTGATACACTATTAAGTTGTCCAGACAAGTGAACATTTTATTCACTTAATATAATTAAGTATAATTCATACATATTATATATATATATATATCAATTCATTTCTTTTCTCACATAAGCCTTTAATAAGTAACTGGAATTTTTTATTAGATCTTATATATACAGAGCAGTATTTTATTAAAAATTCAAAAGGGAAGACTTTCATGTGTTCAATTTATAGTTTTTCTGTTTTTAAAATATCTTTATATTGTCTGCCAATTAAAACACTTTAAACTTGCAGTGAAATGGACTCTGTATGTATTTTTGTATTAAACTAACATACTCAAAAATGTCCAGGTCTCCTGGAAAGGCTCCCAGAAGGCTCCCAGTGTGCAGCACAGGACCAGAATACAGATGTCCAGGTTGTTGCCAAGAAAGCTATTTTCTCTGAGCATCTCTGTGACCACCTTGGGGTCCAGGAAGCAGAAGACTTAATGAAATGCTGCATGCCCCAGCCCTAAATATAACTACATCCCAAGGGCCCGGCAAAGACAAGGACAGATTGAGAGTAGTAAGCCCTGGTTCCTTAAATCACATCACCTTCCTCTGCTCCTGCTGTTGCTGGTAATTGGTATTTCATGGGTTGGAGACTTGAGGTCCGCTCAGGCCAGGCTTTCTGATTCTCTCCCTAGGTGAATGTCATCCCCCCGGTGGCACAGGCCATAGTCAACTTCCGGATTCACCCTGCACAGACAGTCAGTGAGGTACGTCCCATGTATCCAGAAAATGGGTTCAACTTGAAGAGTTTGGGCCCTAAGGACCTGTATTTAGTACAATCGTAGGACTGGGCCAGTTTCCTTTATTCAGTGTACATTACTCCAAGGCATTCTGTGGCTGTGTGGCTAGGATAAAATCTCTGGTTTGGAGGATTTTGGTGTCTGGGGTAGGAAGTGGGAGATACAGATGAATAAATGGTATCAAAAGTAGTAAATATACATAATGAGATTGTTGTATGTTTGACTAGATGGCTAGATGTTCACACGTTTCACACCACCCGTTTAGTCTTTACAGGTACCCTGTGAGGTAGGCACTTCATTGCTCTTTCAACCAGTAAACATGGAGACATGGAGCAAAGAGCGGTTAAACGGCATATTCAATGATGGTGCACCCAGCACCCTAGCTTGAGTCTGTACTCTACACTACAGTTATAACAATCAGAGATGGGCAAGTCACCGTACAACCACTGCAAAGGAAGCCGATGCTACTTTGAAGAGCCAAAATAAATTTTTTCTGGCCCCTAGAAATGTGACTTGGTTGTTAAAGGATCATCAGGGCTTAGTAAAAATAAAATATTCCTGTGGCTAACGAGTAGAAATTGGGGAAAAGTAACAACAGATAAAAATCAATAGGAGATAGAGCCATAGCTTGGGGATCAAGGCCTAGTATGCCACACTGAGAACAGGAATGAATTCTCAGAGTTCTTCAAACAGTGCCAAGCTAGGCTTGGATTTACTGGTAGATGATGTCAGTAGCCCACAGAGAAAGTGCTGGGGTAGGAAGAGACAAGAAACTATTGCAGCAGTTCAGGCAATGCCTGTGAAGCTCTGAACTGAGGCCGAGTCATGGGGTGGAGACAGGGAACTCACCTGCAGGAAAAGGGTTCAACAGGATATGTACAGATGTGCAGTGACAGCAAGGCAGAGCAGCCCCGAGAGTTAACCCAAGTTCAGGAGTTGGCCTAGCACAAGTGTTATCACCAAGACTTAGAATTTGGGAAGAAGAACAAATTCTAGGAAATATATAGTGGCTTAAGTTTAAGAAATGTAGTGTATAAATTAGTAGGCAATTTTCAATACTATCTCCAATATGGAGAGAAATGAACTAGAGGTACAAGGCAGAGTGTTATTAACATAATCAGAACCTGCAAAGTTAACAGTGGGTGCTATGGCGGAAAGGAACCTAGTACTTTGAGAAAAATGAGGAGACTTCTTCTGGAGCCAGGCGAGGCTTTCCTGAGGCAGGAACATTTGAGCTGAAAGCTCAAGAGTGAGCAGAAGTTACACTGCATGCTTAATATCTAGAGGAAATGCCAGCTTATCCAAACATAAGGTTGAATTCTTAAAAAAGAATTCAAAAGTTTAATCTGACTGCAAAATAGTTACCCAACAACTACCAGATAAGTTAAATATCCCAGAGTACACAGGCTGAGGCAGGTCTCTGCCACAGATCATGGGAGGTCAGCTCCACTTAGACTCTCCTAAGTTCTTCCTGTGAAGGATTTCATCTGTCCTCAAGTAGGGAGGAGTCACTCCTCACTGAAGATGAAAAGTAGATTTATAACCTGCCTAGAGCCACCTAGCATTAGGGGAAGGGGGAATCTAGAATCGGTGTAAAGTACTGGAGCATGCTGCTTTTCATCAGGTGCCAACTTTTGTCCTCTCCCTGGGGGATCATGAGGCCAGGAAATCACTGAATTCCCCCATTGAGCTTCTTTCCACCAGTTTTTTTCCAGCTTCATTCCAATTCCATGCCCTTCCCAAGGGCTGTTTTCCACCCAACCAGGGCTTTCATCTCCCCAGGTCCTGGCACTCTTCCCTCCTCTGTTCCCCACCCTCAATTCCTAACTCCATCCTGCCCACCTGCACCAGTGAGGAATGGAAAGCTCCCATCAATCAGAAAGCTCACAAGCTCCATTGATTCTTGTCGTCCCCCTCCCAAGTACCCTAGTCCATTTTCCAAGGACATGGCCTGAGGGTTGCATGCACAGAGTCCCACACTGGATCCAGGAGATGGAAGCCAGGCAGCCACCAGAGTCCTCTCCATCTTCACCTCGTCTCTGCCATGTTCCAGATGTAGGTAGACTTCAGCACCTACCTATGAGAAAACAAGACAGGCTACCAGTGGAAAGGACAGTTCATTCTAAATGCACCTTTAGGAGTAGAAATGGCCACTGAGTGAGGTTTCAGGGAGCCTCCACTTGAGGGAACATTCTGGAATATGCTGTTTTGGGCAGTAATGGAGTTCTCATCCCTCACAGGACTCTATCAGGGTATCATAGAGAAGAGGCTCTCCTGCATTCACTCAGAATGCTGACCAGCATTCTTCTATGCATTTGGGATAGTGGTGAACATGAGAAACAAGATTTCATTCTCATGACAGTTATGCATTAATGGGAAGCAACAGCAATAAGCAAATGACCAGATAAAAGAACAAGAGGATTGTTAAGTGGGAAGTACCTTGAAGAAAATAATAGATGCCATGTCCAGAGTGATGGACGGAGATGTGAACCATGTCAAATCTAGCCATCAAGCACACCCACTCTGAGTATGTTTTTCCACTAGATCGGGGAGGAACAGACCTGAGAATGTGTCCAGGGAGCAACAGCTCAATGGGAAACAGTACTAGCACCCTTTCTTTAGCACCTACTTCCTAGGATAACTATGCCCATTACTATAGTCAATGGAAGTAAATGGTTAGGCCAGTGCCTGGCACATTGTACACTCTCAATAAATGTTAGCTAGCATTTTTTTCTTCAGAATTAGAGGGATCTTCCTAAGAAATAACCAGAGATACAAGACTGAGAGTAGGAGGAGGGACTCACCAATAATGAGGGAGACCTCAGAGTTACTTGAGAATACATTGACCTTTCATTTCTCTCTCTGCCATCCTTCTGGAACATTCCACAGTGTTGTGTTGTCCCACAGCTGTTTTATGTGTACTGATGTTCCTCTCATGAATGGAAGATGTGTTGGAGGTAAAGCTAATAGACACGTAAAACTGGGTTAGGACTTTAGAGTTGAGCAATCAGATTCTACCCTGCTGTACAGCTACTCACTAGGAAACTGAGACAAGCTGTTATTTAAAATATACCATCCCAGTTTTCAGCAACTTGGTTAGAAGCACCTTCTGGTATTTTGTTTTTGTTTTTTTGGGATTTTTTTGGTACTAGGAATCAAACTCATGACTTTTGACTTGCTAGGCAGGCCCTGTGCTGCTGAGCTATATCCCCAGTATGAGTGTCTTATACTGAGCTGGGACGTGGCTTTCTGTAACATCAGTGCCCCTCCTCTTTTCATATTGCATGTATGTACTCCACAGGCTCTGGCATGGTACAAGACACATACACACTCTGCAAAATCTCACTGCGTGTTGACAGATAAGCGGGCTGAGACATAGACAGCTGGATGACCTTGCCAAGGTCATGTAGTTCCAAGTCTGTCACAGCCCTCCCTATTCCCAGAATGTCTGTTGCCTCTCTGCCATTAGTTTCACAGCCTTCCTTTGAACTTGGTCTCAGAATTCATACCGCAAAGGCATCCTTCACACTTGAAGGATCTGAAGTGTCCTTCTCCTCACCTCCTCCACCTGTGTGGACTCAGGAAGCAGAGACACATCATTCCTGTGAGCTCAGGGAAATGCCCAGTCCAGCAGTACTAAGTACCTGGATGACTCTGGTGAGTTAGTTATGGAGATAGCTCTAGGTACTGTTTTTAACAGGTCCCATTTTTTGTGTCTCAAGTATACAACGTTTATTACAGACCTTTCATGTGCTTGATACTGGGAACCCGGACATGTCCTTGAGCTGGTGGGAAGCACTAGCTGCTTGCTAGTGGGAAGCCTGCCTTCTTACTGAAGGGAGGCAGCCTGACTACCTTCTTTGATTTCAGGAAATAGGAAATGGTTTGGGGCAGGGAACAGTGTGTACAGTCCAGCCCAACCTCACAGGAGATGACTTCAGGAACCTTGCAGTGGGTGAAGAATGTATCAAGACCCTACATTAGTCAGGCATGAAGGCTGGGGCAGGAGGATCACAAGTTCAAGAGTAGCCTGGGCAATTTCAAAATTTCCTGTCTCAAAATAAATTTAAAAGGAGTCACTCAGTGGTTGATGCTTACCTAGCATGTTCCAGCACTGCAAAAGGAAAAAAAATTAAATAGGCTACATTAACTCTTAGGTTAGAATAGAATGTTTGGACCTTAAGTGCTAGCATGAAACTTAGCTGTAAGGGAAAATAAGCTTTGTGACCTCCTCACCCACCCAGCAACAGGGAGTTGCTTTGACTCAAATGATAATTTCTAAGCCAGAAGTGGGAAGCCTCACTTCTACCCTAGACTCAACATGTACTTGAGGCGATGCCCTCATTCAGGTGATCCCTAACAATAGGACCCCCCAACCCCCGCTTTAAAATGACCACTAATTGCAGAGAACATTTTTATGCAACCCCCAATCATATGGGTCCGGAGTGGTGCTAGACCTGTGTTTGGGGGGCTGTGTGGGTTTGGGTTCATTCCCACACTGTGACCAGTATACTGCTCAGGGTCTCTCTGGCCTCCTATTTTAGGTCAGGGATTTTGCTGGTTTCCCTCTAGTCATTTTAGGCTGAATTTTCTAGTAGTTCTCTCAGGCTCGATCCTAAGGAAAGAAGACAAAGAGAGAAAACTAGAATCTAGTATTTGAACTCCTGATGTTTTTGTCTGAGCTGAGCTCATCTTCCTCCCTCTAGTATAGTTGGTTACAAACAGAAAATAGGGATGCCCAGAGAAAGAAAAGAAGATGCGATGGCCTGGTGTCACCTCTCTGAGACTCTCAGGTTGAAGCTGAAGCCTCCCATTGCCTTGAGATGGTTGAGATTCTAGATCTACTGTTTCATTTATACCTTCAACTAGCACATAACCCTCATCTCCAGGAAAATGACACATAATTTCCTTATAGTCCAATTCCCCACCCAACTCCTGGCTATAAGACAAACCTATCATTTAGCCTAAACCTGCCATGCTATTGCTTTCTAGGAAGGCTCACCTCTTGCATCACCAAAGTCAGTTGAAATTGAGGTCCTTTCTGTAAACCCCAGGGCTCTGCCTTGCTGGAGAGAAATTGGGACCATTTATTTTTTACTTTTTTAAAAATTTGATTAAGACATTTTAGATATACATAATGAGCACTTTCATCATAGGGAATTTGTGCCTGTACATGGTCTCTCTTTCTTTTCCTTTTCCCGTACCTTTTCTCTACTTATTTACAAAAGCTTTCTTTCCATTTTCCTTCCATTCATTTTTTCTTTTCCCTTCTTTGTTTTCCCCCTCTCCTCTTCCTAGTTCCCCTTCTCATGTGAACGTCTTCTTCCTATTTCACAATATCTATTACACACTTTGATCCTTATTTACCCTTTTAGTTTCCCATACCAGAGAAACAATGCAATTTAACACACATTAAACACAATAAACATGTGTGTCTGATTTATTTCACTTAAGAATTTGGTCTTGGACCAAGTATTTAGCTCAGTGGCATAAGTGCCTGCCTGGCAAGTGCAAGGTCATGAGTTCAACCCCCCCACCACCACCACCAAAAAGAAAAAAAAAAAAGAGTATGGTCTCAAGATGCCTCCATTTACCCAGAAATGTCTCAAGTTTAGCCTTCTTTAAGAACAATTTAAAATTCATATGACAGTTGAATACCAGATTGATGTGAAATCTGACCCCCTCATCCCTGCTCTGTTTCCACCCTGGAGGTCCTAGAACTCACCAAGAACATCGTGGCTGATGACCGAGTACAGTTCGAAGTGCTAAGAGCCTTTGACCCTCTGCCCATCAGTCCTTCTGATGACCAGGCCTTAGGCTACCAGCTGCTCCGCCAGACCATACTGTCCGTCTTCCCGGAAGTCAATATTGTTGTCCCCGGTAATGACTTCATCCACTGTGGTTAGAGGGAGGTGGGGCTGGAACCACTTCCTATGCAGTGACCACTGCCCCACACCCATCCCAGCTGTTCATCCTGGAAACAGCTGGCTGCTTCCCCTGCTGATGGGACCAGAACTGTGTTTTCCCCTCAGGGTGGAAGTGAGAAAACAAACAGGAAAGGAGCAGAAACAATAAATTCAGTCAAGCCTAGGACCTTGCTTAGTGTAGGCCAACAAGGACCTGTGCTCCCTGACATAGAGAGGAGGAATGGCTTAGAATCCACTTTCCTCTGGAGGAGTCACAGAGGCAGCCAAGATCCTCCCCACACCCAGGTTGTGGTTCTAATTCTCTCCAGAATAAGAGCTCAGCAGGGAGAACTCAGATGCATCAACTCCCTTCACCCCTGTAGCCCAGTCCAACCCTGGCAGCTCCTTCTGGGCCTCTACCCCAGTCTTCACTGTACTGTCCAAATCTACCTATGATAATGGTTATCCAACCAGGAGTGGACAAGGATTGCCAGGGAGCATCTTAAAATGCAGGCCACCTGGACCCACTCTCAGAAATTCAAGTCAGCCACATGTGGCTGGAACCCTACTGTCTGTCTACCTTTTGACAGATATCCACAGAGGATTCTGACACAAGTGATGCCTGATCATAGTTTAAGAAGCTTTTGGTCCCTGAAATAGGAAAGAGAAGTTCTAATGTGAATGCCTGTGTCCTCTCTGGATTTAATCATGGGTTTCTCTAAACATCTAGAAGCCCTGGCCCTCACAGCCCCAAGCCCTCTTCTCCTGGTCTCAAAGACTCTGCCTCACTGGGCATGGTGGTGCATGCCTGTAATCCCAGGACTTGGCTGGCTCTGTGAGTTCAAGGTCATCCTGGACTACAAAGTGAGTTCAAGGCCAGCCTTGAAGACCAAAAAGAGAAAAAAGAAAAGATGCTGTCCTGGCTGTTTCTCTTCTGGGGTGCTTTCCATAATCCCCACCTGTAGGTTTGAGTTGTGACAGGAAAAAAGATGGGGAGAAATCCAAAACACAGAATTGTGAAGGGGCTGGCTATTCATTGGAAACCAGGAGAGTTAATTTGACATAGCATACATTACCACCTCAAATTGTTCTGTGTGGCACTTGTCCGTTGATTTTTCCCAAAGAACACACCTATTAGGGACAAATCCCAGCCCCATCTGCGTGCCCTACTCTACCTGAGGGAAAGTAGGAAACTGGCAAAGGAGAATCTTGGGACTTGCCACACCTGAGGTTTGACTAGACTGGAATCATCCCTCTGGATGAGAATAACAGGAAGTTACGTTCCACTTGAAGAGGCCTGCATCTAGACGGTGTTTATTACTGACCAAGCGTAATAGTGAATAGAGGTCAGTCGATAACCAAGTTATATCCAGATTTCTGGTTTCTAAAACAGCAAATGGCCCTGTGATGGCGATGAAAGCAAATCATTGTCCTCCTTGGAGAGAGGACACTGAGGTTTGGATCATTCCAGGGACATCTCACCAATGCCCTTAATTCTATGTTCTTGTCTGAAATTATGTTTTTGTAAGGACAAAAATAGCATGGCCATAGGCCCTAAGAAGGCCCAGGTGTTGCCCTATAGAGACCCTAATCCTCCAGCCACTCCACCTCCTGACACTTGCTTGGCTTGGTTGCTCACATAAAGTCCTTTCCTTTCCTTTTTTTTTTTTTTTTTTTTTTGGTACTGGGAATCAAACTCAGGACCTCACACTTGACTGGCAGGCGCTGTGCCACTGAGCTATACCCCCAGCCCTGGCCCATTTCCTCTTCATCTTCCCGCTCTAGGAACTTGCATTGGCAATACAGACAGCCGACACTACACAAACCTCACCACCGGCATCTACCTGTTCAATCCCGTCGTCTTGAAGCCTTCAGATGCAAACAGGTGAGTGGACCAGCCCTGAGCCACACATGTGACCTGTCCCTTCCCACCCCAACAGTCCACAGAACAAGGCAGAGCCAGGGCTTGGCAGACTAAAATGGAGACACTGTGGAAGTCCACTGCCCTCATGGCCAGAGGTTTGTCATTGCCCAGAACTTAGGGAAATGGCACCTCTTTTATAAGGATGAACATAATCAAACGCTGGGTGAAAACCTGGTGGAATTAGGACCTTGGGTGCCCTTCCTGCCCATGGGAGAGTAGTTATACCCGGAACCTCACTTTCTTTATACAAAATAAAGCCGTTCATCACTCAGAAATGCACACACACTGAGATCAGGAGTGAGCATGTAGGGGCTGGGGATTTAGCTCAGCGGCATAAGCGCCTGCCTTGCAAGCAGGCAGTCGTGGGTTCAATCCCCGGTACTGATAAAAAGGAAAAAGACAGGGCTGGAGGTTTAGCTCAGCAGCATAAGCGCCTGCCTTGCAAGCAGGCAGTCGTGAGTTCAATCCCCGGTACCGATAAAAAGGAAAAAGACCAAAAAAAAAAAGTGGGCATGTGCTTTGACTTTTCTGAAGACACACTGTGGAAATCCCAGACATGAGCACCGATTTTAGCTGTGGTTTACTGTCTTGTGGGTTCTTCAGAAAACTGGAGTCCCATGGAGGGGAAGATCATTTCCATATACCTCTCTACTATTTATCATATCCAGACCTGATTTCCCTGTAATAGGTCAGTTGTACAAAGGAAAGAAAATATTTGGATATGAGCTCATGGATAACTGTGATGTTTTTGTTCTTATTTTTCAAATAGGACAGAAAGGCAAGTACCGCTCTATTTCCAATCATCTTTGAGTTACAAGTGTAGTCTGATTTGTTGTGTTGTGGGAAGACAGGTTGGTGGACCTGAAATCAGCAGCAAAGCCCTATGTCAAGGAGGAGATAGAACAAGGTGTCCTTGGAGGTGTCCTCCCTGCCCTCTCTGAGCCTTAGGAAGCTGAGGAGTGAGCAGCTGTCTTGGAGGGAAGTCTAGCTGGGGATCTGTCCTAACAGAAAGAGAATTGGAAGTTGAGGATAAATTACTAAATGGGATTCAGAGCCGAAGATTTTGAACTCCACTAGAATGTATTCATTATGTTCCCTCTGCACTTTGCCAGATAACCAAAAGTCACATGACATCTTGAAACTGGCTCTTCCATTTTGCCCACTTCCCACCCTGGAAGATGGAAGACAGGCCAGTGGCTGTCAGGAGATGGGGAGCAAGTCAGGACTGCTCTGTATAACACCCGTGCTGTAGCTCTTGACCCTCCTCCGCTCCCCCTAATGCATCTTTCTGCCTCAGGATTCACGGAGTCAATGAGAAGATCTCAGTCCAAGCCTACGAGACCCAGGTGAAATTCATCTTTGAGTTTATTCAGAATGCTGACACAGACAGGAAGCCAGTTCCTCACCTGCACGATCTGTGAGGTCGGGGAGCCAGCTGGGTTAAGAGGACCCCACTCTAGGCCAAGAGTGGGGAGGCCAATGTCGATTGAAGTTTTGACTCAGGGCCAGGGGCTTAGCTCAGCAGCATAAGCGCCTGCCTGGCAAGTACGAGATCGTGAGTTCAATCCCCAATACCAAAAAAAATAAAAGAAGAAGTAGTTTTGGCCCAAACCACATCATTGCCGGCCTGCCTAGATTACTCCTAAACTCATCCATAAACAAGGCCTGGCGTAGGCAAGACCAGCGGAACTGTGGCCTCGATTTCCCTCCACCATCCTGCTCTGCTGACTGCCTGCACTTACTGCCTCCTTGTTCCTCCCCTCAGACGTCTGTCTTATGCTAATTATTGAACTGTTCCACCTTTGAGCTGACAACAAACACAGGGTTTAAAATCCTCAACAGTTCGATTCCTGATATCAAATAAAATAAATCCTTAACCATGTTTCTCCTGATAAATGCATTAATTTAGGGTGCCTTAGTGCCTCTTTCAAACCTTATATATTGCTTCTTGCTAGAACTTCCCCCTCTGCCTCCTCCTCATTCCTCCTCTCCCCTTTCTTCTCTCCCATGAACACTGAACTCATCCACTTTATTTTTATTTTGAGAGAGGTCTAATTAAGGGACTTGAATTTGCAACCCTTCTGCCTCAGCCTCTAGCCTGTTCTGGAACTCACAAGTGGCATCTTTATCCCTCCTCACCTGCCCCTGCTTCCCTCTCCCTACTCTAAAAGTTATTCTGCATTTGAAGCAGTTTTTACCGACCCTGATGCTACTGTCATTGTCACCACAGTTGGTCATAAAGAGATCTAAGCAGTACCAAGTGGTGAGCCTGAGGCCAGGACCCTGGGGAAGCCCAGACCGCCTTGCATGGGTGCCTGAAGAAGAAAGCTTCTGTCCTTCAGCTTTGCTCCCTCCCTTGCCCTGTTCCTGCCACCTGCTGCTGCTGTCCACCCCAGGAGGCACTAATCTGAGGGAACATTCCCTGGCACATCCTGTGGGCTGAGCTCCCAAGGGAAGGACACTCATGACCCAGCCATGGAGCCCTGGGCCAGCAGAGCCCTGGCCCTGACATCGAACCCTGGTTCAGGCCCATCAAGGGGAAGTGGAGGGCACAAAGCAGCAAGGGGACTGGCCAGAGGTGTTGTGCCCTGGGCCAGTGAGACATAACCACAAGGAGCCCCCATCCAGGGACAGCAAGCCCCTCCCTGTCCTTTTGCCCTGGACTCCAGTCCCAAGCATACTTTCCTGCCAGGTGGGGGCATTGGAAACCAACATTGCTGTGGCTCAAGGCCAGGAGCTGTGCTTTGTGGATTACAAGGGAGACGGGTTCACTAAGGGAGACAGAAAGGCAGGAATTGAGAGGCTTCCTTTCTTCTGGGTTTGCTAGCAGTGGACTCCTTTGCCCTCTCCTCACACAGCCCTGTCCCCTCGCAGGCCCATTCCTCACCTCCCTTCCCTGGATGTGAGCTGCTTCTTGGAACTCAGGCTTTGTTGGTGGTAGAAACACAGTGCAGATATTATTCTAGCTCTTCTGCTTCTCCTCCCGAGATTCACATTCCTTGCTGGGCCTCCCTTTTTGGCCAGTTCAGTCTTATTCAGCCTTTGCTGGAGGGCAAACTGAAGCAGAAAAGTAATCCTTCCCATTTGTGCAGAGCCCTACAAGCAACTTCATACCCCTGACCTCAGCAGGACCCCTCAGAACCCTTTGAGGAAGGAACTGCTACCCCTGCTGCTGGGGAGGACTTGGTTCTCAGAGTGGCTACACCTTGTGCAGGGAGGAGGGGGCCCAAACTCACAAGTTAGGTTGTTCCACATCCTAACATCGTGAAAGCTACCACCCATCAGTTGTCTCGTTTAATCCTCCCAATAACTGCTATGGTTTGTGTCCCCCAGAGTTCACGTGTTGGAAATTTAATCCCCAAAGTTATATATCAATGGTATTAAGAGGGTAGAAACCTAATCAGAGCATGATCTTTAGGGACAAGGCCTTCAGAAGATGTCAGCATTAGATAAAGTCACAGGGCAGAGCCCCATGGTTGACTTACTAGTGACCCTGTAAAAATAGGGTTTGAGAAGATATGGTTTCCTTTATTTTCTGTTTGTTTTTGTTTTAGACAGGATCTAGCTATGTAATTCTGGCTGGCCTAGAACTTCTAGGTGATCTTTCTGCCTCAGCTTCCCAAGTCTGATAAGTTTGAGCCCAGCCTGAAATATATAGTGAGAACCTGCCTCAAAAAAAAAAAAAACCTCCAGCAAATGAAGCACCCTCAGCCCCCATCAAGGATTTAGCTCAACCTTCTTGTTCTGTTTTGTTTTGTTTTGTTTTGTTTTTGGCACTGAGAATTTAACTCAGGACCCTGCACTTGCTAGGCAGGCGCTCATGCCACTGAGCTAAGTTCCCAGCCCTCAACCTTCTTAACCCCATCTCACCATCTAAGATGGGAAGGAAGACAAAATATTCAAAAGCAGAGACAGCGAGGGGAAAAAGGGAGTAAAGCTGGGCTGGAACCCCTTGATTTCAAACCAGGGTCACTGAAAACATGGTTTTCCAGTATTCTTTTCTTCCAGAGGAGACAGCAGGAGAGAAAGTTTCTATGAAAGTGCTGAATATTTCATTAAGTATTAAAAATTTAAGTAAAATATATTTTAAAAAAAACTGGACATGGTAGCTCACATCTGTAATCCCAGCACTCAGGAGGCTGAAGCAGGAGGATCACTGCAAGTTCAAGACCAGCCTGTGCTTTAAAGTGAGCCCAAGGCCAGCCCAAACTGCCTAGCAAGACCAGTTCTCAAAAAAGACAAAAACATATATTTATTTATAACATTAAGCTATATGTAATTCTAGTGTTCAGTGTTCATAGAATAGTCAATAAAAGGAATATCATGTTTCACATATATTATATTTAGACCTACAAATATAAAAATTTAAGAATAATGTATACTAATACTGCTAAATGTTCCTCAGCCATCATTCATTGCTGTAAATATGAGATGTGACCTAAAAATACAATATTTATTTTATTTTATTTGGTCTTTTTGAGACAGGGTCTCATGCAGTTCAGGCTGGCTTGAGCTCACTTTGTAGCCCAGGCTGGTCTTGAACTTGCAATGATCCTCCTGCCTCAGTCTCCCAAATGCTGGGATTACAGGCTGTGTCATCATGCCCAGCTTTGTGTATCATTTTTAATGTTAATAAAATAGATAGTTTCATGTGACAGAGAGTAAGTTCATCCACTTGTTGATAAAATTTTAGAAATAGTTTCTAGAAATATTTAGTATTCAATTTGAAATTAATTCATTCTACCATGATTCCTACAGGTACTTTTAATTCTATCTTTTAATTTGGTAAAATTTTTAAAATACAGGAAAGTACAAAAAATAAGACAAGATGCCCACATAACCACAATCCAGAATTAGTGAGTATCTTCATACATTACTCTTGGTGTTTAAGAAAATGCGTATTTATGTAAAAAGCAGAGGGCCAGGAATATAGCTCCATAGCACAATGCCTGCCTGGCAGCATGAGGTCCTAAGTTCGATTCTCAGTACAAAAAAAACACAGGCCCGCTCCACTCCACCTCCACACTCCTCCCTTCTCTTCTGTACTCTTCCCAGACCACCAACAGGTTTGCCCCTGTTTCCTTCCAATGGATTTCAAAAGCATTTACATACATATGTGTACCCATTAGCAATATAAAGTACTGAATGTCATCAAGAAATCTTTATAACTCAAATTTGCAAAAAGTCATTGTACTGTATGCATCATTCTGCAGCTTTTTTCCCTCTCCATATTTTTTAGACATTTCCATTAACATGTGCTTCTTATCTGTTGCATTTATATAGATGTGTATATAGTATTCCTTCATAAGAGCTTTTTATTTTGTTCCTGATGGACATTTAAATTGTTCCCAATATCTGGTTACCACAAATCAAGCCACAGAGGAGTTCCTGATACTTCCTGAGTATACAAGTGAAACTAATCTGTACTTTTAAATTTGTTACAAGCCATGTTTTAGCTACTTCTAGTGCATAGGCTTCTCATAATTTTGTCCTCAATTCTTGTGCCTTTTACTTTTCTTTGCAATTCATAATCCATTCTCTCCTCTTGGAGAACAAAGTGCTTCCAAATAATTTTGTTTTGTTTTGTTGTGTTTTGGTTTGGTTTGGTCTGGGGGTTTTTTGGTGGGGTTTTGTTGTTGTTTTTTGTTTTGTTTTGTTTTTTTGTTTTATACCAGGGATCTAACTCATGACCTTGCGCTTGCCAGGCAGGCCCTTATGCCACTGAGCTAAATCCCCAGCCCCTCCAAATAATTTTTTAAAATCTTATTATTTCCTCTTCTCCTAATGCCATCTCTTTAATATTTCGAATTCGTGTATATGCATAGGTCTCTTTCAGGAGTCTCTTCTGCTCTGCAAAGTCACCATCATAAAGGCTTATTACTTCTAGGTTATCATGTAAATTTTTGTTTCTTCCTTTCTAACATTTACACCTTATTTTTCTTATACTCCAAACTTATATAGTGAGAGCAGTAACAGGCCTCCCTTTTCTGATCCCAATTATAGAGAAATATACCAAAAGTTAAACTGTTACTTCTGCTGTAGGTTGTTTTTTGTTGTTTTTCATTTGTTTGGTTTTTGGTTGGGCACAGTCTTTTCATCATATGAATGTCTTTTTCTTCGGTATGAATTGTTGATGTCCTCTAAATTTTAGTATTTGTTAAAGTTCAACTCACTTGTGGTGCTTTGCTTCAAAATATTTCTCATGTACTGTGAAACAGAAATTCCTGGTGCATGTTTTTCCCATTTTGAAGATATTTGCAGGTTTGTTTGTTTTTGTTTTGTTATGTTTTGCCTTTTTGAGAGAGTTTCACTACGCAGTTCAGGCTGGCCTTGAACTCACCTTGTAACCCAGGCTGACCTCAAACTCAGTGATCCTCCTACCTCAGCCTCCCCAGTGCTGAGATTATAGGCCTGTACCACCACACCCAGCCACCGGTTTTTAATGAAGATGAATTTTCTGGTGTCTAATGTGGGGACTTACAGCTGAAAGCTGTCCCACATCCACTATATTGATAAGGCTTCTTATCTGTGTGTATTCTGATATGCAAGGCTAGGTTTGACATAGGAGAAAACTTTCCCACATTCATTACAACCATAGGGCTTCTCACCCAAATGGCTTCCCTCATGCACAGTGAGAGATTACCTCTGAAAGAAGACTTTCCCATATACATTGCATTCATGAGGTTTATCACTTGAATGAATCTTCAGACATGTAATATTTGTTGACGAAGGCTTTTCACATTCATTGCATTTGTAGAGTTTCTATTCTCTGTGAATGTCTGCTGCCTTATGAGATACTTCTGGCCAAAGGCTGTTCCACATTCATTACATTTGATATGAATTGTCTCATGCTCAGTATTGATTTGCTAATAAAGGCTTTCC